TTTATTACTTACCACAATATGTAAATATTAATGGCTGTTATCAAAAGATTAACCAAGTTTATTTCCAGGCGCTAGGCTTAGCATTATATACAGAATCGTATGTTATTAAACTGTTTTCATAGAATAACAATGTAATATAATTAACACTGCAATTACTGGATGACTAGTTCTACACATGAACAATCATGTAAATGTTGAAACTTATCCTGTGATTTATTATATACTCAAACTTTTAATATTAAGTTTTACTCTATACATAGGATAATAAGTTTTTATATTTTTTGCTTCAGGTTGTGGACAAGGAACCATCTGAGATGGAGGATTATGACCCCTATAGAGTAGGGTGGGCTCCTAGCTCACACTATGGATCTCGAAACTCACTTAATAAGCCATACATATCAGGAGGTTCAACACTGAATTCTATTTCCCGCTCCATGGGATCAGGTAGTGACCATTATGCTATTGTCCACTCTAGACCAAATAGCAGGTATTCTCATCACTCTAGCAAAGAACCCCTCCACCGAGGTCCTGGGTCCACCCTGTCCAATGGGCAGTACTCTTCCAGAATTTGATATGGTAACTGGTTATGTAATATAAAGGCCAAATTTGTGTCAAACATATACCCAAGTCACAAGATTTTGTTTCTTATTTCACAAGAGTAACATTTTCAAGCTGTTTTTACTCAAATTATGAACAAAAAAATGCTAAGCTCTTTAATAACTTTATGATCAGTAGTGTTAACCTCAAGTTTAGATTGTCTGAGACCAGCATTAAAAGCATTACCAACATGTTTTTTCATGTTAAAGATTAGGATATTGCACCGAGTCTTTGGCTATGAAAATAGGATTAGTTGTGGTTACTGTCGAAACATCTTTCTGCAAACTTCAAACTTGACCAGTTTCAACTCTCTGCTAGACACATTCATCAGATGTTACAAAATAGTTGTGTAGTTGAAACTAGTCATATCCAGAAGAGGTTGCAGTAAGAGTTTCGAAAGTTAACACAAAATGAATATTAGAATTTATTCAAGGATCACATTGTACAGCACCAATCATTTATTCATATGTTTAGTAATATCATCTCATTAATCTTCAACCAGTGGTGCTCAGTCATAAATTTGTGTTTACCTGGTGATGAGTTAGTAAAATATTTGAGGAAGTAAGTTAGCATTAGTTCTAATGTTTTATATTTATTAATATTGGTGGGACTAAATGTAAATAACACCTATTTTTATTGACTTTTTTATGGAACTAGCTAATAACATTTTAAAGAATATTAAATCTTTTTTTTTGGGGGGGGGGGGGGAAATAAACAAGTGGTGCTAAAAGCTACCAAAAGAACATCTATCTGAAATGCCTTTTTGCAAGACTTCAGTTTGGACCAACTAGAAGCCTGCAACTGTCTTTTAGAAGTAGTTTTGACTGAAAAACATAAAAACCATACAACAGTTTTCTAGAAAGACTTTAGTTTAAAGAAAGTAGAAACCATACAGCAGTCTTCTAGAAAGACTTTAGTTTAAAGAAAGTAGAAACCATACAGCAGTCTTCTAGAAAGACTTTAGTTTAAAGAAAGTAGAAACCATACAGCAGTCTTCTAGAACGACTTTAGTTTAAAGAAAGTAGAAACCATACAGCAGTCTTCTAGAAAGACTTTAGTAGAAACCATACAATATTATTAATGAAAGTCTTCAGTTTAAAGAAACTAAAAACCATACAATATTATTAATGAAAGTCTTCAGTTTAAAGAAAGTAAAAACCACACAATAGTCTTCTAAAAAAACTAGTTTAAAGAAAGTATAAACCATACAACAGTCTTCTAGAAAAACTAGTTTAAAGAAAGTATAAACCATACAACAGTCTTTTAGAAATGCTTTATTTTAAACAAAGTAATTGTACAACAGTTTCTTTGAACCCCACAAAAGCCATACAACATGGATTTATAGAAATACTTCATCAAAAAAGAATCCAAGCTAGACTGTCTTCTAGCTCTACCACACCTTTGGCTCCATAGAAACCATAGTTTTTAATGTCTTTTTAGCAATATTTGAAATATTTTAAAAATAAAATTAACACCTGTTTAAGTCAGTTCATGACAATAGACTTCTCTGACAAAAGTTTAGAGACCTGAATTCATGGTCCTTTTTTTTTTCTGGAAAGAATTCACGTTATGAATGTGTAGATTTCCAGTATAGCAATGTTTTGTTTTCATTTGAAACATGTTAAAATTTATAATAAATTATTATGGGTGCTACCTAAGGCAAGACAATGTTACTTGCATCAGCTCACTAGGTAAAAGTGGTTGTTAATTGTAGGATAGCATTATGTGTGCTGTGCTTTGCCAATTTTATGCTATTATAATTAGTGTAACTAGTGTATTTTATTCTGTACTAAGAATCCTGTATTACAAAACATTTTAACAACTTTCAATTCAATTCAATACCAGGTTAACCTTGTACTACTAAATAATTAGTGGCACGTAAGTTTTGTGAGGGAGTTAATATTTTATTGTGAAACACTGTTAATTCTTTATTATTCTGGCTTTATCTCTGAATAAACATATTTATTAATATTATTTTTTAGTGTTTTCAAACAGTTTGTTTCTGGTAATCAAGGAAATTCAGCCTAATTTCATAATGATTATTGTATATGCTGGTAATTAAATGTTGTTCATTACGATAATTTTCTTTACATTTTATCCTGTAGATGGTACTGTTATCTGTTCTTCATAGTTAATGTTTATTATTGTATATAGTTGTAACTCATTATCTTTTTAATATCAAATAAAATAAAAAAACTTGTAAAAAGGTATTAAGTCTTTAATAAAAAAATGGTTTTATTGAAACACAAGTTAGCTTTCCTAATTGATCACAACAAGGACAAGAATGTTAATAGACAACATGGAAAATTTGATTATTATATCATTATTAACAAACCCTAGTCCAACTTTGAGGATACATAGGATTAAAACACAGTTAATATTTTTAAACTCTGAACTTGAAAAGACACACAAAGGAAGAAACAAAATATTTTTGACACCTTATTACACTAAACTCATTCAGATGTCACTGAGGTGTGACACATTAATTCCATAAACTTGGCTCGGCATAGTCAGGTGGTTAGGACGCTCGACTCGCAATCTGAGGGTCGCGGGTTCGAATCCTCGTCCCACCAAACATGCTTGCCCTATCAGCCGTGGGGGCATTATAAAGTTAT